AACAAAGTATTACGTCGATATGTGGTAATTTCTAATGCCATTATTATAATTATCTATAAACAATCACTAAGGCAAGAGAGGCAGACATTTTATGAAGCACAGTCTTTTCGAAGGGCAGGCACATCTCACGAGAGGAAGACAAGAAAAAGTAAACCACACAGTGCACTGTGATCCTTCCGTAATGGCCCTTTTAATCTGATCGACTCAATTAGAAACGAATTTAATAAAGTGCCAGAACGATCTGCTGTGACTCGAAATAGATTTACTGATGTATAGCTATGGCTTGACCTTCTAGTTGCTTAGAGAATATACTGGGACAATTTTCCTCATGACAGAAACGGCTCACTGCAGTATGGTCAATCAGACACTGGCATCACTAGCGTCGCTGCATTATATCTTCATCGCAACAATAAATCATGCATGCGCATGTACGTACAATGCTTCTCTACCAGCGTTTGTTTTGTCCGACAAACTCAACTAGCAAAAAGTCCACCCACATAACTCGTAGTCAGCAGCCACAACAACGATAACGCTCATCAGCTTATTAGATGCATTCAGGGGCTGGCGTCGTGGAAACACCGACGCGTCTTGTCAGCGATGCTCACATATATGGCGTGCACGGATAGGGGACGTTCCAAATCAACCACTGAAATCACAGCACCGCACTCGGGCTATCGAATCGAAATAGATCTTCGTACTTTCATGCACATTTTAGCATCTGCAGCATCGGTGCTCTAATATAGAAGCTCTCCCAGTAGAAACAGAGACAGAACGTTGTCAGTTGTGAACGTCACATTAGTGTTATCACAAAAAGTGTGACGTTTCAATAATAAAGCATCTCACAGCTATTTTAAGGGCGTACGCATGTTAGATGCCGTAATCGAGATATAATATTTGTCATGCTGGGGGACGGGGGCTTTCTATGATGTAATGTAAAACGGGAGCCCTATTCAATGCAGATATCGTTGCGTTTTATCTTCAAACGATGACAACAATGACGACTACTACATCTACCTGTACCGAGTATTCGCCATTTCGTTGCGACGGCTACCAAACTATGCTGATAGTCGTGAGCCCACATGCCTGAAGACCACAGCGCACCCATGCGTTGCTCTTTACGGTGGTTTAAATCCGAATTTAGCCCACTCAGTGCGCCACCCGTGTGGTGTATTTAAGGAAGCAATCCCAATGACGTGTTTTCGATGACCGCCGCTGTAGGACTAGTACTCTAATACATAACTTTACAAAGCCCATATTATTCTGCAAAAAATTAGCTTTTTTTTTGCTTCTGTTTATACTCGACGTCAGGTGCTAATGACATGCGCTTAGCCCTGTAAAAAAAAAAGGCAACAAAATTGTAATGCAACACATCAATGGTCAGTTGGTTGGCCGTCTTTAACTGGATCCGCGTGTTGTTGTCCATCGATTCCCCCACTTAAGTCAGCAAATAACAATGGATATTGTAGAAAACCAAGACAACAACGCAGCCACTGACGCTGCGGCTTTCCAGCGTCGTGGTAGCGTCTGCGGGGTGAAGAAGTGATGTGATGTTAACGGCCAGTGCGGTGCAGGCCACTAACATTAGCGGTTTTGGTAGGGACAACGTTTCTTGCTACGGGTCTCTTAATCCGTGCTAAGATCTCCACGCTGTAATTCTCAGTAGGTGGATCACAGACACGCATGCACTCGCTCATTGACGCTCAGAATCGAGTTTATCATTTACTGATGGTGGGAGGAGGGGGTAGTGAAGATGCCAGTACCCCTAGAGATATCTGTACCACGCTGACGCTCGCTGTTTCCATAAGCTGCGAACGATTTGCTTTATAGATCTCCCATCTGTTTCTGCAGAGTGACGCGAGCAAGCTTCTTGACAGAGTAGAAACGCGAGGCGCGCACCGTGTAACCATACGTCATTCTAGCTTTGATCGCTTTGCTCATGCGTAGACTTGAAGAAAATGTAGATGAAAAAAGGAAAAATGCGCCGAAATAGTAGTAATAGAACCGCACTCTCGACTGGTTCTGCATTGCTTTTCTGGTCTGCCCTCCTTTTTTGACAACGACGATAATGCGATAAGAGCACCTGGCCCCTGTAGTACTTGTTGTTGTCTTCGTAGTCGCGATCCTCGTACCGTTCGTTTATCGTTACGCTGCTGCGGGCCGGTGACCGCGCACGGTTACTCACTCAGTTCAGATATTGACCCGGCAGCGCGTAGTGTTGGCGACAAGATTGGCGAAGCCGAAAAAAAAAAAGCGTCGCACGCCACTGCAAAATTCTTCAGTGCTTGAGATCAGCAATAGCCCGAGAAGCGGTTATAGAGTCGGCCGCGGCGGCGGCGGCGGCGGCGGTTGCGGTGGCGGCGGTGGCGTCCGCTTTAGTAGCAGACGCAACGCCAGACAAGATAGGAAATAACAAGTCGCATAAAACTCCCTGGGAAAAGGGCTCTCCTCATCTACTAACAGTAGAACTTGTAGCAATGTAGAGGCAGCGGTCGTCGGGTACCACTTACTATTGGTTGCAATTGAAATTGCGATTAGCAAAGGTAGCAAACGGTAAAGGTATTGTGTCGAGTCACTTAGAAACCGACATGCAGAGAAATAGCAGCAAACACGTCTGTTTAGATTTGCCGTCTGATCTGAAAATGTGGAACTTACCTCGGTATGCTGACTTCAGACAGGTGATCAAGAAAAGAGAATCGTTACCAGTCCGGCACGAAGATAAACTGAACAAAAATTCCAGTAGCCGGCCGTTATGACTATGGAAAAATTACCATGAAAATGGCCAAAAAAAAAACGCCAAAAAACCATGACAATAATTATAGCAGTGGAGACGGCCGTGGGGGTTACACGTAAACGCAGTAGCTAATTTAGCACAAGAGGGCATCTATCTCACAGATTTAGCAGCTCACAACGAAAGCGCGGAGCAGGGAATGATTGTTTGTTCCCGATATGGCATCTTCCAGGCTCGACTCGATCCGGGCTGGAGTGAAGCACTAATCAGTGAGTTATTTTACTTACATTTAAAGAAGAAGTAAAATTAAGTGTTAAGTAGTTTAGTACAACAAGAACCGCTACCATACACTTAAAGCTATGATATGATGATAACTAGTTGACAAACGGCACTTGCAGTATCGATTTTTCTTACTTTTTACGGACTATACGTTTAGTTAATCGAGTATTTGCGTGATCCAGGTACTAAATACACCACGCTGTCCAGAGTTCGTGTAAAGATAATTAATCCGTTCCATACCATCCCACCCAGATCACTGTATGCATATTCATCGTAATGTGGCCATACCTTATAGAATCCACAGCCTATTAGGTACGATGGGATATGTTGTTTTCTTCTAAACTGACAGACTAAATAAAATATTAGCTACAGTAATCTAGTATCTATGATACGGACTGATAACTCGGCCGTAGATATTTATCGTGTAATAAAATACGGCCGTCTCGTAGGGGCTGAACGGTACTGACCTGGGCTTTAGGCCAAAGCAACATTATTCGTTCTCTCGTCGAAGTCATCTTGCCTAGTATACAAAGTTTCCGTGACCAGACAGATTATGATAGACCTATTTATGTATATTTACAGAACGATTCAAAAGTCAGAAATTACGATTTTGACCAATATGATCAGCTGCCACTGATCAGATATCAACAGTAAATACAAGCAACAATAGCTAAGTCGTGGTTCACGGAACGAAGTTTTCTCCAGTCGCTGGCAGTCTGGCTAGTCGAGACGACGGTTCGACGACAACTAGTTTGTATCGAGACACATTCAAATACGTTTATACATCAATGAAACGGCCACCTACACACACTTACCCACCGAGACGCGCCGTCAACCCCGATGCAATTGGGACAGTTTCTCAAATTCAACGATTCCGGTAAGTTCAACTTAAGATTACCCCAAAAATATATCAGAACATGTTTCACATATGATATATCCTGTCTTCTCATAAAATAACTGTTCCAACTCATCTAACTGATTTGCAAAATTTCACTATTTACCGGTCTTTAAGGGAAACGATTTTACATACACTTGTTACTTGTTTATAGTTTGTGTTTAAACAGCGTATTTCAGGATGAACTGGCCTCATAAAGCCGATCCAATCTTCGTTGTCTTAAGATCGGTGAACATGGTACCATCTGTCATAGAAAGGCCTTGCGTATACAGACATCACTATATGTTCAGTAATTATATATTGGTGATAATAAACATTATCATTCACGTACTAGTTTGAATTTGGTAGTCAAACAGTAAACCGTTAACTCAGTTAAACCGTTAATAGTTCATCACAAGCTGTAATATACCATTAGAAAAGGTCAAGGGTCACGTGGTCACTTGAACCACTGCTGTTCGTTGTTTCAACTAATCACCGAAAAAAAAAAAACGCCGACACGACCTTCGAAACCGGATTGGTCTATTGCTGATGTATGAGTAAAGGTTAGCTTAAGCTAAACCGACTGAATGTGCATTAATACGTTTCTAGCCGTCAAATTGTTGGATAGTGCCATTTTCCTACGCCCGCATGACTGTCCGCCTCAGAACGTACCTACGCTCGTATTTACTACGAGTCGAATAAAAATAACCGGACTGGCAAGTGACAGGAGTGCCATTTATTCATTTCAATCGTGTTTTAGTCGGAGACGGAAAAAAGTTTGACTACATCGTACATAGAATTAGAGTTAGTAAGCAGTCATCGGGGTGCGCGCTGGCACCCATAACATCTAGCAAAACGATACGGGGGTGAAATTATTCTATATCGTCATAGAAACTCGCACGAAAAAGGCTTCGTTGAAAAAACGATCCCGCTGTTTACCGATATTTAAACTATCGAGAAGTTCGTTTTCGCGCGTTAAAGACGATTGTAAATACCAACTATTCTGTTCGGCACACAGTCCTTTTAGAAGTTCAGAGTTCTATGATGCACGTTACCGGAGACCGGTGGGATAAATGGGCCTTGTAGAGGTTTTTGATGTGCGAACTATATAGAACTTACCTTCGTATGAAGAAACGTAAGCGCCTTATTGACGTTCTCAATTTTGTGGACACGCATTTTTCCGTTATTTGGTTTGCCGAGACGTTCACCCGAAATAATTTCAAGCAACTTGAGGAGTTTACGTCCATCGGACAGATCTGTGAATAGGTCGTCCACCTCCATGCGGGCCTGTAGCGGACAAGACAATTATACATAATCCAATATAACTGGGGCTGTATAAACAGTGGCGTAAGCACCGAAAGGCTTCACGATGACTGGCATTAATGTAATGTATATTGGAGCTTGAGGTCAAATATTGAAGGATTTACAAATAGGCTGTCTCATCATTTTCGGCTAAGTAACTTCGCAATTTGATTTCCTCTCGGCCGCTAGTCGCGTCAACCGCAAACCATCATATCGAAGATTAATGGAAAGAAATGTCTCATAGGTGTGTATGCACATTCTGTGCCACTGAAGTCAGCATCTTTACCAAAATGCACACCGGTGCAGCAGGTGGTTCTTGCATGATTGGTTCGTAGATTTCGAAATATATTTTGGCTCGTAACTCACTCCTGCTTTTGAGCTCCGTAGCAAAATGCTGTTACGGGCAAAGTACTTCAATGAACATGATTACGAATCTCACGTGCCTAAGAATGTTCAGCCATAATAAATTAGATATCTTAGAACGATAACGTGTACAATGGATGTCTCTGAGTCAGCATCTGTCCGACTATTTCCTTGAAAATAACATTAAGCGGTCGACTCTGGCGGTTTCCAAATAAATATCCCAACTGTCAATAACGGCTGAGATCATCATTCTTCCGAAAAGAGATTCGACTGAAGACTCTTGCGAGACATTACCCGAACGGCCACTTACTACTGATAATTTTCGTTCTGTGCTTAAGCAAGCGGACCTATGCACACGCCCGAACGGGCTCTTTCACGTATGTTTGTTTGACGAAATCACACACTGCCAATCAGCAAGAACGCTATCGAATGTTTATATTTATTACTTGCTACTAAGGTAATTATAACAATCAACTAGTATGTTTAAAATGCATTTTATGACCCTTCTCTCAGCCGAAGAGTTCAAATGAAACGTATCGCAATCAAGTTCTACCGGCGCGTGCGGAATTAGTCTAAAAAAGCCTTCAATCCTACAATGCCACCTGCGGGTTCTACCCCGTGCCTGCTACAAGGCTAACGTCGAACAGCAGCCAATCTGATAGTTTAAACATCGTTTTCCTATGCAATACAAGTTGAGCACATTTGTTCACGGGACACAATTTCTACGGAAGTCCGTATTGGCACTTTTGATGTTATATAAGCGCGAACGTTGTTGATAGCCATCTTGGTGTTTACGAACGGCGATGTGATGTTATTTTCAGAAAGAGAGAAAATAATTGCTCACTTCGGTTTACGACAAAGTAACTTTATCCTCTAAAGTCAAGTCAAAGGTATTTAATTTCTGGCCGACCCAATTCCTCTAGACAAACCCTCCGGGCTTAGACCGTTAGTAGAATAGAAAAAATATATATATGGAAACGAATAATAGATAGGAAGAGCTATTATTAGCCTTTGTTATCAGTGCATAGGTAAGTATCTATTGAACTGTGTGTTTTGATTTGACCACTCACCCTGGCTAGGTACGAATTCATCCATTTTGTGAAGGTTTTCTTCTGGATGTGTAATCGTTCCTCCTGAAGCTGCTTAATACGACCCCTTTCAAATTCGACCGCTCCTGACTTTATGCCGGCTTCGCCATCACGTGACATTGTGTCGTCGTTGTCGTCGTCGTCGTCGCCGCCGTCGTCGTCGTCGTCGTCGTCGTCGTCGTCGCCGTCGCCGCCGTCGTCGTCGTCGTCGTCGCCGTCGTCGTCGTCGTCGTCGTGGTAAATGTGATCGGCGCCGGTTACACGGATACCTTTACCTGTGGTGGCGGCGAAATTTCGAGAAGAGCCACTCGCTCGAGGCCCGTCGGCGGCCTTTAGCGGCCACTCAGTTAACGCTGTAAACAAATTGTAAAATATATATTTAATAAATCTGAGATTAGACCAATCATACGGGAAAGCACTAGCGAAGCTGGTAATTTTACAGCGATTTTTTTCTTAGAAAATAAGGGTTTCCGCCACCTAGCGGAAGCCGGAGCGGCTGTTAATATGAAAATTGGTTTTTCTACCAAGCATTATTTAAACTGTTTTTTAGTTAAGAGATATCTGTTAATGAAGTCACTATGCTTTGGATAAAGTGCGTTTATATCTCTGGCCATTTAATGATTACTTAGATAGCCACAAGCAAATCCGTTCACATCGGGTTTGGCTTCGGGAAGGTCACACCTGGCTCAAGGTTCCAAGAGTTGATAGGATTTGATGTACCCGCTCCGTCCTGCTGAACGCATAAGGACCCATAAATGACGACACAAAGCGCGCAGACAGGCGATCGGTCGGAGCTTTCTATTTTTTTCACCAGCTTCGTCGATCACGGCGTTATTTTTGCCTTTGCGTGCCATGTGTTTGCGAACAGCTAACAATTTTATAACAATATCATAGCTGTGTGCAGATTAATGCGGGCAGCACGCTAATTCAGATAGAGTAGTTAGCCATTGAGTTAGCGTAGATCTGTCCTTGGCAAGGCAGTGCTATGTTTTGCCTGGATAGTACCTCAGGAGGAGACACCCCTATAAACAACGTTTGGTCCTTTAGATAAGCATCACAATAGGACGTGGGCCTTCTAAAGCGACGAGACGAACGCAGTGAGCAATCCGCAAATACTTCCACAGCTTCTGTCACAGTACATCGATATGCTGTAGCTAAGGATGCCGCCGCGGTTATCAAACCTGGTGACCATAGCATGATGATATGCCTGATTACTGCGATTATCACTGATTGACAAACCTAGGTAAACGGGAGTGCAGGCAGGCAGAGAAGGCTGTAATGATAGATATTGCAGTGGAGCTCTCCCAACTGGACTGCCTTGCACTCTAAAGCTTGGTGGCCTTAAGAAGCAAATAAACGAGCGCAGTTGGCGCGCGTTAAGGGCGACGACATGAGCATCACAAACAGGGCTATTAGTCTGCGCCAGGGCATTGAGAACTTAGGCTCCGACAACATGTTGGCCGCTTTAGTTGGCAAAATTTAGTCTCTGCAGGCTTACACACAGACTTCCTGGGCAAAGCGTCATACACTAAGCTTGCTTTTTTGCCCGAGAAGGAACGTAATGTATTACGGGATTTGAAAAACCATGACGAACTGATTTAACATTTTGAAAAACGAGGCTGCAAGCCAGGTTAGGAAGGTCATTTCACGCACCGTTCAGGAATCTGGTGAGGACAGATTGGTCTCTCAGAGGACTCTTGTGACGATGCGACTTCCCAAAGAAAGCTTGCTGATAAAAGATGGAAGGTTTTAAACTCTTCTACCAGGTGCTTAAAATCGATGCCGGAGCCCATTGCTTTCTGCTACATTGCAAGAAAAAACGACTATATGAAGAAGGCTATGGGAGTGGTAGCTAGTAGATAGAAAGAAAATGTTTCGCCTACTACAAACAGAGGTCTAAACCAGTGCCCTTATATTCAATAGTAACTCTAATAGGTCTAAGTTCGCGGCTATGCTTAGGAAGATGCAGCATAATATCAACCCGGACAATCACAACATGAAGATTACAGAAAAAGATGCCACGAAACGTGAGCACGAAGATTTTCTTAAAGGAAGGTCAACAAAGTATTTCGAAAGCTATAGGATTAGATGGGACAAATCACACACTCATTCCCTCTCATAAAAAATTGATCATAAAGAATCTAATTGAGTAGACGGCTACGAAAGAGGTATCTTAGCACTGGACAAAATGCATGAAGTAAACAGGTCATACCGTCGAAATTTTTTATTACAGTCATGGATAATCGCAAGATTCGCATGCGTGGTTTCACCTATACGGGTACTATTTATGGGGAACCTAGTTATAGGAGTGGTTCCTAAATTACATTGCTGGGCCAGTTTTAAGCCCATGCGGCCTAACTAGTAAGCAAATTTGGCATAACTTCGGTTACCTGGCTAAGAAGCGCGCCATAGACGTTACGTTGGTACCGATAGCTTAACCTCTCCCTAATTTTTACAAAACAGAGGTAAATGGTGAGTTGGCAACTTTGTTGGTGATTAACGAGCAGACAACGATTTCAAACAGGTTTTAAAGCCAGAAGTAAGGAAACTCAGAAGCATCAAAACAATGACTATAACGGTGACAGCTTTTCTGGTGCAACGAAAAGAGACCCGAAGGGTGCAAAGCCCACTCAGTGATTGGAATCCTTTACATTAAAATTTTTAGCGGAGTAAAGCAGGCCTCACTCTTTCGAAAGAAACAGCTGACACGAGGGGAATATCCTTCCTACTAATGAATGAGTCAAATAAGATGTACATAAATATGCTTGCGGATAAAAAAATATATAGTTACATAAGAAATATTAAGAAACAGGCAACTTTAAGTGGAAGAGGCGAGGGTTTTGCATGGCTTGACATAAGGGGCACAGGGCCTTCTGTTTCTGCTGTTGTGGTCTAAGCAAGCCTATAGAGGACTTTGACCTGATGGAATGTGCAGGAAAGGCAGAAAAACATAGTGTTTCGCGGAGACTTAAATGTGGCGTCAGCAACCCAGGGCTCGACCCACGCAAACTGAGTGTTATTGAGTGGTCGGCTACCCACGACACGGTTACGATAAACAACGGAATCAGGCGTATGTTCCACGCCGTGGCAGATGCCATTTCCATAGATTTTACTAAATAGTACTTAGGAACAGTTACAGAACTGGAACATCACGACCTGTGAAGAGACCTGAACGATCATCACTGTATAGAGCTTGAAGTGCAAACGAACACAACGGCGAAAGAGTTTTTTCCGACCAGGAGTCTTTGATAGCTAAGGAAAAAAGAGAGCCGCCGTAAATTTAAGGGCAAAACGACGAGCTGAGCTGCAGAATACAACATCACATCAACGGCTTGTTAAGGCGCCCTGCAACGAATATATCCTTGTCCTAGAAAAAACTCAGTGTAACGAAGTACAGCTGGATTTATGCCCTAGCACAAACACAGACCACCTGCAACAAATTACGGAAAACATTTAATCATTAGAACTGCTAGTGTAGATAATCGACACCTACATGCATGCAAGGAAAAACTACAAGGTTGCTTTTCGAAAATCAACGAGAAGTGCTGAAAGGAGAACCCTTAAGAAATGTAGGAAAACATCATGGCCACCCCTGTAAGGTTATTAGAACAAACACTTAGAAAAAAGTCATATGAATAACCGACAGAGGAACAAAAGAGGGGTCTAATAATTAAACTTTTGCCAGGCCATAGTGGACTTGACCCCAGCCAGAAACAGATGAAATAAAAAGACATGCCTCCTGTGACAACTGATAAAATGCGGTCAGCTGATAAACGCTTAAAGCTTAAAGAAAAGGCACCGAAGCCAAATGGACTCTCTAGAATTGTCATCAAAACACGTTTAACAGTTTTTTAGACTAGCAACCACTATAATCACGCAAATAATTCCGGACGGCGTGTTTCTATAGCCTTAAAAACGAAACAGTCGTGGTCATTCTCAGAGGAAATAGTTCATACCATTTGACTCGCCTACTATAATCGCTAGCAAAAAACTTCCAGACTCCAGAACCTTAGGGAGAGGAATATTTTTTCAGTTAGCTAATACAATTTTAAATTGCCAGTACTATCGGCGATTGAGCCGGGTCTTTCAAAGCGCCCGAAATGCGGAAAAAACAACTCAGGGGTGTCTAAAGAGACAAAGTGTTCCTCAGTACACGGTACGCTATCGAAGCAGTCGGGCAGTAGCGAATCAAAACACTGCCGAAGTCTTGCCTTAAAATCTAGCGTCCGACGGAGTCCTATGGCTAGTGAACTTTCCGGTGGAGTTGGATTTGACCGCATATGCGGATGACCTTGCGATAACGAGACGGGTATGTAGAGCGAAGAACTGGGGACCCATATTAACAGTCACTACGCCAGCAGTTTCTGTGTTGGCGAGAGCTATCCTGCGAAGCTAAGAAAAATAGCTTTATGGAAGTAAGCAGGCTTGAAAATCAGGCAAAACAGACTTCCGTAAGATGAAGGCGATGCTAACGTGTCGCATCCAGGGTAGAAGGATTCCAACCCCCGTTTTTTGTCAGAAATCTAGCTGAGACTGTGCGGTGAGAAACACTGACGTGAGCCCAGCTCATTAGCTCGGTGGCACACGCCACTCCCTTTTGCCGCTCCGTAATATTATTAACGAAAGATACGAGCTGGCTGGCTGGCTGGCTGGTAGTGAAACACAATAGAGGAATTGGTGCATAATAATTTCGGGCCAAACCAAATTCAGTATTAAGTTAACTCCTCACACGGTCCACGCGAAAGTACCCTATCGTTATGAATCAGTCATACGTAGTTATAACTCGGCCCATGTTTACAAGGAAAATAGAAATGTCTAGTCTCATTCAGCCGTACCTATCTCCTTCCGCTTATCAGGATCTATTTTGAAGTCAGATAAATCGTCTCATAGCCAAACTTACCGAAGGTCACGCCGAATCTGCAAGATGCGACGGCAAGTATTGAAAAGCAAACCCTTCAATTGATAAAAAATAGTCGTAATTCCATACATAAATATTCGTTGATTTTAAGATTCCAAAATAAATTAGTTACAAGTGTGAAATCGGTACCATTGCTCATGTATCGGAAGTTACTTATAGAGCCTCTGTTCATAAGAGAAATTTTCATTTTAAACGAACTTTTCACAGAACTCAAAAGCCAACGTAGATGGCAAACTATGCAAAGATTTGTTATTGGCTGAGAGTGAAAATCTGAAATGCCACCCGCTTCTTATCTTTATACTAATTTGTCGATCAAGCCGGTGGACACTTATAATTGAACGGAAATTCATGTTGCTGGCCAGTCTACAGCGAAAGAGAAAAGATTGTTACTGATGAAAACAGCATATCTTTTTTTTTAACTTCTATACGTCTCTG